GAATATAATGTCCAGTGTTGTGCAATCCACATTATTTAGTGTCTTGTGCAGTGCAAATATGCTTAAAGTGATTTAAGTGATGAAGTGAAAACAGTTTTGGTGAAGACACATACACGGCAAACGCACATGAGCTTGGCGAGTTTAGCTTTCACAGCACAGACTCGCTACTGTTGGCTTTGTTTTCTAATGCTTGTACTTTCTCTAGGATTTTCTTGAGGGCTACTGCGACGGTCTGCCATGGCGTACGCTGTACCTTTGAAGTTGGGTCTGATCCGTGCATCATATCCTGATGTTTTCCCCATGAGTTTGTCCAGGAAGTCAGAAGGTGAAAGCTCTTGTCTGCTGGGGTGCTTTATCTCCTCCTTACAGGAGCTCAGTCTGACATTACCCAGGAGGAGAGGCAAAGACGGGAGCAACAAATACAAAGAGAAAGAGAAGAGAGAGGATATGAAAAACGGTCGTGAAGGAGTGTATGCATGTCTGAGAGGTAGCAGTGGGGGTTGTGGGCAAAGAAAAAAATAAATGAAGCCAGCAAGTCAGTCATCAGCACAAAGCACAGCAGTAGATGCGAAATGAGGGTGAAAAATGATAACTGAATGGCTTGCCTCAGCTGGCAACTAAAAGCTTATCTATTTCCCATCATGACTAAGACTTATTGAAGTTGTTAGACCCTAACTACTGAGAAGCAAAACAGAAGCAGAGGTAAACTTGTCCCTCCTCTGTGCCTCCCGCTGCTTGCGGCTTAGCAGGGGTAAAGCTTGACAGATTGATGGCTCAATTGTAATGCTATGAATGTCACACTGGGGAGAGGAAGGAGTTGATACGAGCTCCAGTAAGGCTCGGGCAGCCACTGACAAGAATAACCAACAGCCTGGAGTGAAAGGAAAAAGAAGAAGAGTAACAAAGGGGGATATCTTAAGGAACACACAAAGAACAGCACACATTGGATTTGACTTCTGTTTGGCTCTGGCTGCAGCACAGCATATTGCACCCCGTGAATTTGATACAACTGTTAACAGTTCATGATTCTGTCGAGATCTAAAGCTACGTACAGATGGCAGGTTCAGTCATTGGAAGGCACAGTGTTGCTGATAGCCTGTGTTTTCCTGATTAAGTCTGGA